TTCTGTATGCAGCATTTAAAGAAATGAAGAATACTGCATGTACCAAATGGACAAATCTCAAAAATAAAATATAGAGAAAAAAAAAAAAAAGTAAGGTGCAGAAGGATACATACACTATGATACCATTTATATTAAGTTAAAACATGCTAAGTAGTATTATATATAGTTTATGGTAATATGTATAAATAAAGGTATAAAAATAGTCATGGCAATGATATGTACCAACTTTGGTAAACTGGATGCCTCTGAGGAGAGAAGAAAGGGAATGGTGTTAGGGAGGAATATATTCCAGAGGATATTCAACCATGTCTGTAATGTTTTATTTTAAAAATAAAACCCAAAGTAAATATGGCAGAATTATGTTTATTATATTATTTATAATTTCCCATATGTTAAAATGCTTTATTTAGGGGCGCCTGGGTGGCTCCGTCAGTTAAGCGTCCGACTTCAGCTCAGGTCATGATCTCACGGTCCGTGAGTTCAAGCCCCGCGTCAGGCTCTGTGCTGACAGCTCGGAGCCTGGATCCTGTTTCAGATTCTGTGTCTCCCTCTCTCTCTGCCCCTCCCCTGTTCATGCTCTGTCTCTCTCTGTCTCAAAAATAAATAAATGTTAAAAAAAATTTTTTTTAATGCTTTATTTAAAAAGTGAATAACTTTGGGATGCCTGGTGGCTCAGTCAGTTAAGTGTCCCACTTTGGCTCAGGTCATGATCTCATGGCTTGTGAGTTCCTGCCCCACATCGGGCTCTGTGCTGACAGTTCAGAGCCCGGAATCCGCTTTGGATTCTGTGTCTCCCTCTCTCTCTGCCTCTCTCCTCACTCGTGCTCTGTCTCTCTCTCTATCTCAAAAATAAATAAACATTAAAACAAATTAAAAAATGAATAACTTCAAAGTAAAACTTCAGGATCTTAATTACTGATGAAATCCTGATAAATACTAAAATTTCAATAAAACTTAACCATAAAAATTGTCAAAATTCTCATTGTAAAATATAAATATTTCAGTTTTATGTGTCCATATTACAAATAAATATGAGCTATCTAGACATAAATTGTAAATTCCCCTGATCACAGGGTTAAAAATATAAAAATATAAATATACACACACGTGGGTAAAGATTGGAAAGCAACACTGAAAATAAGCTACGCATAACCTTCCAAGCTAGAAGGGTTTGGGGTGACACTTAACTTTTTTATTAAAAAGTTTTTTAATTTAACAAATGGAATGTTGCTAAAATAAAACCTTTTTAAAAAAACTTTTTACTGTAAAAATAATATAGCAGCAGAGATTTAAACAAATAGTTCTCTAGAAATGTACAGTACAAAGTCACATCCTTTTAGGCCTTCCTCCAAATTCTTTTCTTTCTGTTAAACGACCAGGTTATAAAACAGGCACACAACAAAATGATGTGGGTCAAATCACTATTGCCACCCAATTTTCAAGGGCAATGGCAGTCAAGAATTCGTCTGGGAGAGATACTTTGCTATGCCTTTAATTAAGGTGGGGCTTTTAAAACTCAATTGTTCCATTCGTGTCTCAAATCAATCAGATGAAATTCACCTTTTAGGTGGCCTGAATCCTGATAGCTAGGCACACTTGATAGGTAATTTAATCATCTCTGGTGTAGACGAACGCAACCTGAAATTAGCTAGTGAAAGAGTTGGTCTTCTCTGAGATAGCTGTGCTTTTCCACTTTTATGCGAGAGCTGAGCTTCACCAACTGGCTAGCTGGAGGCGTTATTAAAAATTTAGTGAAAGAAACAAAGGTGTGCTCTGGTGTCTCTTGTTACCCTTTCTACTGTTACTCCAGCAGACAAAAGGCATAGAGCCTGCCTCATGAATAATGTGACATGGAATATTCACGATCTATTTTTAATGGAGGCAAGTAATAACATTAAGAGAGATATTTGCAATCTTCAAATTTCACACAGTAACAGGCGCAGTAATTTGTTTTGATTCTGAACTGAGGATATCAAGATATATTTTTTTCTTAAAAAGGCGTACTGTTAACATCAAAATTACAACTTCTCATTTATAGCAAAAACAAGGATTATGAAAATGGCCCCAGAGTTCTAAATGTCATCAGAGAAGGACAAGACAGATAACTAGATTTCAATCAGTCTACTTACCTCTTGACGCCAACTTCTTTACTTTTCAAACCAGTTGGAAATAATCAACCAGTATGCACAGTGAATTCTGTGCGAAGGACATTTTGTGATCTTTATTCCCTGGGAGTTTTGTTTCCCAGGACACTAGGAAGAGGTTTCTGGATGCTGTAACTGTTCAACCATCAGTTCTGGAAAATTATCTTCAACTGCATTATAAACAAATGTAAATTTTGAATGAGAGTAAACTGACATGGAAAGACATGATGTTGAAAACCAACTAAGCACAGCCAAGGACTGAGATTTAGAGAGACTGGAGGAAAGCAGTCTTGCCCCCTTACCCACCAACTCAGAGAGCGTCCTATGTGTTCAGTTGGTTTCCTAAAGTTTCAAGCAATTTATCTTTCCATTGTGCTCTAGAAAGCAGAGCTGGTCAGAGTTAAGCAGAATTTTATTTTCTCTGCTTATTTACCTACTACCTCAGCAAATACCTACTGATCTCCTATTGGTGTGACAGGCACTGTTCTGGGAGCTGAAGATTCAGCAGTGACAAAATAAATAAAGCTCCATAGGACACTGTGCTCACTGCTGTACCCAACCACCTAGAACAGTGCCAGGCACATACTAGGCTCTCAATCAGTATGTGTGAAATTGATTTGAATCGAAATGCACAATCTACTGGTGGTCACCACAGGCCATGCATACCTTGGCTGAGAGATGTTAGAATGAGCACAGGTAGTTGGAATTTAGGCCAGGACCTTATTCTAGTTTCATTTTCTTAAGGACTGATTCATGCAAGAAATTCCCACAGGTGTGATAGAGCCAGAAATAATTCAAATTCCAATTTTACTACCCCTCCCCTGATTCATCTTTATATTTAGACTTGCAGTAGGTGAGGCAACTAACCAATATCACACACTTTCTATCCCCTCCAGTCTCCACAGAATCAAAGCAGGCAGGGTTGGATTAGGATGACAGAACCATATCCCCATTTTATGGTCAAGGAAACTGGAATCAGGGAGGCCAAAGGAGTTGCCTAAGTCGCACAGCATGTTGGTGACAGAGCTGTGACTAAGACTCAATTTCTGGACCCAAGAACTGTGATTTCTTTATTCATATGGGAGCCTTCTGACCTATAAACAAAACAAAACACAAAAAACAAACAAACAAAAACAACCCTGAGGTCCTCAGAAGGATCTATGTACATGAGGACCATCAGAGACTCTATAAGACAGGAGCTTAGTTTTGTATACCTAGTTTTTCTGTTAAGAAAGAAGGATTTTTGAGGTATAGAAGGGAAAAGCATATGAAAATCCGAGCAATTGGATCTTACTCTCTTCTGGATATTGGCTTGTCTGCTTTACTTTTAATACCTCACTATAGCTTCTTCAGGACCAACTCCCACTATGGACTAAAACAAGTCTTTTCCAAATTCCCTACCTAAATGAAAAGCCATAGGTAAGAGTCTCAATATTTTATTAACTTAAAACATCACTCTAATAAATATGTATTAACAAACAAAATGCACTCCAGAAGATCTAAAAACATTTACAAACCTCATCAACGTAAAAATACCACTTTGTGTCCTTCTAGTACACACGGAAGATCACTTCACATGCCTGCTAGCTTAGACATCTTAAAAATACCAGTGTAACAATCAAAAACTGAATATACACACAAATCTTGGAAGTATCTGTTCAGCCTTTTTTGTTTGTTTATGCTTGATAAAATCCAAATGTGTCAGAAAAGAAGGTTCAAGATTCTATTTGTCTTCTCCAAATTCCTTTGGAGGGAAAAATCAGACCCAGCCACTCGGAGGTGCAACTATTAGCTTTTGAAGGGCAGGGGCAAGGGCCATACCTTTAATCTCTGGCTCCCTGATACCTAGGCCTGCAGCCTGTGGTCAATAAACACTTGCTGAGTGAACAGATGGTTTGTTGTCCAGAGGTGCTGCTCTGATGAAGTCTTCACAAGCCTCCTGCAGGAAGGACTCTCCTCTCCTCTCACCACCAAGTGATTTTTTTTCTTCTGCTCCCTCTTGAAACAGGCTGGAGGCGCCTGGGTGGCTCAGTTGTTTGGGCAGCCGACTTCGGCTCAGGTCATGATTTCGCGGTCCGTGAGTTCGAGCCCCGCGTCGGGCTCTGTGCTGACAGCTCAGAGCCTGGAGCCTGTTTTGGATTCTGTGTCTCCCTCTCTCTGACCCTCCCCCGTTCATGCTCTGTCTCTCTCTGTCTTGGGAATAGATTAACGTTAAAAAAAAAAAAAATTAAAAAAAAAGAAACAGGCTGGACAGCGTATTTTGTCATTTCAAAAGTATGAAACTCCTTCCCCAAATCAGTTTCTGAACCATTCTTCAAGTGGGAGAATTGATTCTTCCAAGATTTACAGGCAGCACCCAATAGAAAGGGGTTAACAGACTCCCCAGAAAGAAAAAAAAAGTAACACTCATTTTTCATTCTAGATAAAAACATTAGCACGTGTCAACCTTGTAAATGGTGATTCCTCCTCTTCCACACAAGTATCTGGGGTAGGTCAGGAGAAGGGAAGAAACCTGAAGGGTTGTCCTGTCTGTGGAGCAGGGCTGGGAATGAGAACTGCAGAGCCCAGGATTTTATCTGAGCCCCTCTTGACTTTTGAGTCTTCCTTCTGGTGTGGGGGAGCCTATTCGGCGTGTTCACAGCCCAGTAAGTTACTTGGTTCCCGCTCTGGGCTGAACTTTGTAAAGGTAATTTATCCCCTCTTGCAGTTCCAGGAAGTAAGGTGGAGGGGCTCACCCTGCTGGGATCTTCGGACTGGCTCCGAGGGCCTGAAATGTCGGAAGTGGATGATAGCAAGTGGGGAGGCTGCCCTCCGTAGTGTTGTGTAATGCTTGCTGCTTGCAGCCAGCCAGGGCCCTCATTTGAGCCCATGCTGTGTCTCCCGGTGCCGCCTGAGGTCCACCTTCCTCTGGAAGCCCTTCCCACAAAGGTCACAGCCAAAGGGTTTGAAGCCTGTGTGCTTGCGGCTGTGGGTGATGAGGTTGGAGCTCTGGCTGAATGCCTTCCCACACACCTGGCATTTGTGGGGCTTCTCACCTGCAGGGATGGAGGAGGGGAGGAGAGGAAGTATGAGTCTATGATAAAGCTAGAGGGGACTCACTGTGACCCACATGCTCTTAGCAGCAGCTGGCTGCAACGCAGTCTGAGGCCTTTAAGTGACTTGGAGGGTGACGTGTTGCAACTCAAGTCCTGGGAAGTCATGGGTGCACCAGGTGAAAGGGAGACTTTCTGAGTGGGGGTTCCCAGCAAAAGGCCTCAAACCGTTTCCTGCTAAACGGAAACAGAGCAAAGGCCACGTGCCCAGACTCACAGCTGAATCCACCCTGGCAAGGCACCCCTGACTTTAGAAGCAGAGAGCTCCCAGAGCAGATGTTCGATGTGGGGGTGGGGGCCTGTCCTTCAAACCATGTGACTCTGTTCTTATTCAGAGGAAGTTTTCAAATCTGAGTTTCCAAGTGGGCGTTGGTTTGTGTGGACCAGTGAGCCTGTCTTCTTTCTTGCTCTTGAAGGACAATAGAATGTATCTGAAGCACAGACATTTCTCAAAGTCGTATTTTTAAAATCCACATTTGGGTCACGAAGTATTTCTCAAGATGGCTGATCCTTCTATCTTGATTTTACTTTCTTTTTATAAGGATTCTTTATATCCTAGCAAATCTTCACCACAGATTAATAAATAACAAATAAAAAATGTTTGGTCTTTCCCCCCAAACCATGTGCTGTTTAACATTTGGGTAAATGGCATGCATTTTCACATAGCCTCAGCATGGCATTATAGTCAGGGCTTGGTCTTGGAAAAGTGCAACAATAGATGAAGTTTGTTTTTGAGGAGACTTCTATCCCTCTTGCTGTGCCCCTTTCTGTCTTCATGTTTCAGATTTCCTTGATAAGGAAGCACCCATCAAAACTTACCCTATCCCTTTAGGGTCAAACAAATCTGAGAAACAAATTCTAGCTAAGATGTAAATGTTTGATAAGGACTTAATGTTTCATTCAGTCAAGATCCTAGTTGCATTTTGGTAAGTGTTTTAAATACTTTTACTCAAAAGGAGTGAGTTACATGGAAATTTCAGACAAGGGTCCACGATTAAAATAGGATATTTTTCTGAGTTTTCTGATGGGGGCATCTACACTGCCCAAACATATTTATAAACATCAATGGTCGGTGTTCGGAACACACTGGAATTTGCTTTACATCAGTATTCATATTCTAGAATAAAACAGCCAGAATTCTGGGTCCCTTGTAAGTGTATTATTTACTATTAAAGAGACTGCACCTGGCATTAAAACTGCCACCTATACACAATCAAAATGTTGCAGAAAGAGTCCAAGATTGGAAGCCAGAGCATTCCATGGCCTCAAGATTTACTCTTAGCCTGGCCTGTGCTAAATCACTGCATCACCCTGAGTTTCAGGATGGCAAGACTACTTTATGGGGTGGCAGTAAGGATCAAAAAAAGGGCTAGATTTGAAAGCAATGTGTAAATAACAAAGTATTATAATAGGTAAAGAATTATCATTGTTATGGCATGAACTTGCTGAAATTTTGAAAAGAGCAATAAGTAAATAGAAGTTTTCTACATCTACCAACCTTAATGACTCTGAAAATACAGTAACCAGTGGTCAAGATAATAGATATTTGAAATCAAGCAGACCTGAATTTAAGTCCTGGCCCTGCCACTTGCTGTTGGGGCCCTGGACAGGTTACCTAATCTTTCCGTGCCTCACTTTCCTCATCTCTAAAATGGAGATATGGAATAGTCTCTACCTCCCAGAGTTTTTGTGAGTATAAAATGAGACAATGCACTTGAAAAGTGCTTAGCAGACAGCTCAGTAATATTTACCATTGTTTTTTCCCTCCTCAATCAGGATAAGCTCTTAGATTGCAAAAAAAAAAAAAAAAAAAAAAAAAAAAAAAAAAAAAAAAAAATGCAGCCAAAAGGCCACACATAAGTCCCTCCCCTAAAAGGCTGGGTGGGAGCTCTGCAGAAAGTCCTCAATCTCTGGAGCTTCAGATCTTACCCTGCTCTGAGCAGTTGGAGCAGCAGTTAAACTGCTGGAGGAAAATAGTCTTTGCAAGTATAAAGAGCCTGAGGCTGATCAGCTTACTGGTTCTTCGGATGCAACCCCAAATCAAGGCCCCTTTGGGGGAGAACGTTGTTTGTAAACAAACTTAAGAGAATCGGCCTGCTTGTTTTCTTGCATACACTGCAGTGATTAACTCTGTCTGGAAGGTACCGCTCATTCTGCAGCCAGAATATCACAGGAAAGGTGAATTGTATTGGTGGGAAGAACAACAATGCTCCCCCACTCCAGCCCTCACCAGATGTTTTTCTACAAGCCAAGGGCCTTCAGCTTACCAGTGTGAATGAAGGTGTGTTTCTTCATGTCTGACTTTTGGTGGAACCTCTTGCCACAGTACTGACAAGGGTAGGGCCGGGTGTCTGAATGGATAAGCAAGTGTGTGGACAGCGTAGATGACCTCTTGAAGCTCTTGCCACAGATCTTACAGTCAAAGCTTCGTTCCTGTGGATAGAAAGATGTGGCATTCCTACTGCAGGCATCTAGGCTGCCATCCTCCTCACCACTAACCCAACCATAAAGTCCCCAGAGCCAGGGCTCTCCTTTTCTTCGGGCTCCCCTTCCACTTAGCCTGCCCCATCATTCTCTCTCCCCGGATTTATTTCCAATCTCTACCCCCTCCACCCCACCCTCTTCCCCTTTAACACTTTTTCTACCCACTTTTCACCCACAACCCTCCACACCCCATGGCAAAAATGTATCCCCACCCTGCTTTTTTGACACCCATTTACAAACACTTCTCCACCCTCCTCAACAGGAGGCTTAGACCTCAGTCAGTTGAGACCACTGCCCCCTCTGGCCAGTGCTGAGAGAGATGGAAGAATACTTCTCTTTTTAGTAAGTCTGTACGTGAGCATTCTCTTGTCATAGTTACTTGTACACTTAATTGCTTATCTACTCTCTGTCACTGAGCTAAGCTGAAAAATTCTGTGGGGGCATCCTGTCAGGGACCTGATGTGTTACAGGATTCTCACGTGCCTAGCAACTGGAAGTTGGACAACAAATATTAATAAAGGAATGAATGAAAGAACAGCAGGACAAATATGCTGCTGGATACTCTAAATGAGCTGACATCCCTTCTTTTCATTTGGGAGGGATCAATGCTGATTAAGTGACAACCATTTGGTGATAAGAAGCGAGGCAAAAAACAAACAAACAAACAAACAAACAAACAAAACCCAGAGCTAATAAATCTGATATATCCGCAGCAAGAGTGCATACAAACCCTCCTCAAACCCAAAGTAATGATCAGGATCACCCTCTGGAGGCTTACAATGATGTGACACCAAACTCTAGGGCTGCCTGGAAGCCAGAGCCGGCCACCTTTCCCTACACACCTACATCCGGGCAAAGTGCCTTGGTGGAGGAGACTGGGGGCAGTCCGGGGACGTCCAAGGGAAAAGATGCCAAGCGGAGAGTGGCCGGTACTGCACTGAGAAGCGGAACATCCCCGAAAGCGAACCTGAGCAGGGCCGCGCGCGGCCTTGCGCCCCGCGCTTACCTGCGAGTGCACGGCTTTGTGCTGCTCCAGGCTCACCGCGTGCCCGAAGGTCTTGCCGCACATCTCGCACGCAAAGGGTCTCGTGCCGCTGTGGGACCTGCGCACGTGCACCTCGAGCCCGTGCGGCGTGGAGAACACCTGAGGCGGGTGGGGCCGGGGAGAAGGCCGCTGAGAGGGGCCGAGGGGCGCGGGCCAGGGGCGGGGGCGTGGGACCAACTAAGCCAAGCGCGCGGGAGCCTCACCTTGCTGCACTTGATGCACTTGTAGGAGTCGCCGCCCAGCAGCAAGCGGGTGCACAGCAGCTCCGACTCCACCTTGACGCCGGCGCCCTTGTCCGCGTGCAGCCCGTGGCCGCGCTCAGAGTATAGCCCGCCGGCCGCCGCCGTCGGCCGCTCGTACAGCCCTGCCGCCGGGGGCCCGAAGTCGCCGTAGAGCCCCAGGCCCGCGCCGCCGGCAG